AGAGAGAGAGAGAGAGAGAGAGAGAGAGAGAGAGAGAGAGAGAGAGAACACTGAGGAAGCTGTAGTGTCTCACAGTGTGTCCTACAGTACAGCCTTTTGTCCACACTTCTCTGCTTGCAAATGTAATGCTTACATTGTAATGAGTCATTGGTCTGGTATGAGGCCTCTGGCTTCTGCTACTCCATCAGTACTGGAGCCTCACTGACACTCCTCTCAGATATCCTGTTGTTGCAGGTGTATTATGGAGATCTTGTAGTTTGGGATCTGTAAGAACAACCCCTTCATGCACTCCAGCAGTTCATCCATGGGATAGATGTTGGGTTAGGCCAATTTCAAGCCCTGGATCTGGGCCTGAGGTATCTGAGCTGGTCAGCCTGCTGGATCTCTTTCTTGAATACTCTCAAAGCTGGCTTACCAGTAACCCTTACTACCAGGGCCAGCTCTACCCTGATGCCCAGAGAAGATATGGTGCCCACTCTCCCGAGTGTTGTAGCTGGTAAGGGACATGGCCAATTTTCCCACTTTGTTGACCTTGGGGCCAGGTCTCTTGCCTGCCATAAATTGCAAGGGATGGGAGAGAAAGGCATCTCTCCCTTATCTGTGCCACCACCAAGGAGACAAGAGGCAGAGATGCTCTCAAATATGACCTTGGCACCAACTACCCACAAACCTCAGATCAAGGACAAAAAGAGGGACAGGGGATCTTTCCCTTGCTGACACTACCACATAGCAGACAAGAGGCAGGGCCAGCTCTCCTGCCTGCCATTGGTGGCAAGGAGTGAAGGGGGTCATCAGACAAGTGTTGGGCCGTGCTCACACCCTTGGAGTGCCTCGCCTGCCCCACCCAACCTCCATGGTCAGCTCTACTTTGCTGCCTAGGTGAGGTACAGGGCTGGCTCTCCTGAGTGCTGCAGCTGGTAAGGGTCAGGACCAGCTCTCCTGGTCTCATGACTCCGAGGTTAGGCCTACCCACTGCTGCATGTTGTGAGGAGCTAGGAGGGAGAGGGTATCTCTCCCTTATCTACTCCACTGCATGGGAGATTAGTGGTAGGGCCAGGTCTCCCAAGCTCACATCCTCTGTGGCTGTGGTTCACCCTCAGCTCCCAGAATGTGTGGGGCCACTCTCCTGAGTACAGGCTGGGGGCAGAGTCAGCTCTCCTGCTCTCATACTCCTAGGGACAGCTATGTCACAATGCCCACGGCTAGGGCCAGTTCTTCACTGTCCATCAGCATGTCCTCTGACAGTAGCCCAGACCAGGGACATCCGCCTAGACTTTGGAGGTAACAGATTCCTGATGCTGCAGGGCCATGGGCCCCGCTGTGTCCCCCAGTGGCAGTATAGGCCAAGACCTACCATGGTCTCAGAAGGCATTACCAGCTACTTATATTAGGTAGTTCCTTACCCTTGAGCGTTACTGATTGAGTCTCTAGTTCTGCCCCTCTTCACTGTGCCCACCTTCATTTTCTTTTACTCTTCCATTTCTCCACCACTTCTCCTCTTAGAGGTACCTGGGGTCTCTGAGTGTCTGGGTCTATCTCAGGAGTGGTCTCAGGAGTGCTAGGCCCTGCCCATGCATTTTAGCACTGGGCAGGGGTCATCTCAGCTATGGTCTGCTCCTCTCCAGGCCTGTGCTGTACCCAACCGGTGGTCATCTCAGGCTAGCTCCATGTCCAGGCTGCATGGTTGCAGTCCTGTGGTCCTCTCAGGCTTGTTTCTCACTTAGCCCACCTCAGTGGTCTCATATGAGGGTCATTTGTCGTCTCAGGCTCACTTCTACCCAGGGACCTCAGTCCCAGGCAGGGTTCTTCTAGTCTCCAGTTTTCTCCCAGTGTTGGGCGACAGGGCCTGCATAGCGCTAGATTGGAGGTTGACTCAGGCTCCGTTTTTTTTTTTTTTTTTTTTTTTTTTTTTTTTTTTTTTTTTTTTTTTTAGGTTACTGATCATTTAGATGGCCATAGATCAGAACACTGAGCATAGACATAGCCTTTTTCTTCTCTGACACCGACTTTTACACATGTGACACAGCAGCCACACCTGCCTCTAGGGGCAGTTAATTTTCTACTTTTTAACACCCTACGTTGTGATGTGGTTTTCAGTTCACTTATCTAATCTAATACAGACACATCTTGGGCATGGCCCTTGGTTTCTCCCATTCTTTCTTGCTTATCTGAGCTCATTTTCTGTCAGGGGCAGCCCTGCTTATACACTGAAGGCCTAGAATCAGCAATAGGCCTGACACACATGCCTGCTAGCACCAAGTCTTGGGTCTCTGTGGAAAAACACTGAAACAGATAGCTATAAGATTCTGTAATCAGGCAGCTTTGGTGGAAATTTAGCAGCCTGGATAAGAACTAATAGTCTCAGACCTTGTAGATAGGTAGACTTGGTGGATAATACCAACTTAGATAAGGACAAGTGAATCATAGGCTAAGATATAGTGATCTGTCCCCTGAACCTTCACCCAGTTGACACTCTGTTCTGGAAGATATCTGTACTCCCCCTAAACACCCATGCTCCTGCATCATCCCCTTCCCCACATCCTGCCTTTCTTTGTATATAACCCCTATGTGAATAAGTAAAAATTGTGATTTGATCAGCCTATAGACAAGCCGTGTTTCTTTGCATTCACCCATTTTTTCCCCCCATTCTCTCTTAGGTGATCTCCTCGGACCCTGTTTAATGCCCTGCTGGACAGGACAATTTTCCCTTTGCAGTGTTTTTCTTCCATCTCTCTAGCCACCGGTAACTACAGGAAAATCATTCCTAGAGCCACAGGCTCTCAGATATGAGTGGGGGAGGTGAAGTGGGGGTGGGGTGGGGAGTGACTCTTTCGACAGTGTTTGCTTTCTTTTCTTTCTATTTTGTTTGTGTGAAAGGGCCGAGCTTGTTGATTGGTAGAAATAAAGTCATCTGTTATAAACTTATGGAGGTTCTAGTCGCTATTCAAAATGCTGAGAACATGCAGATGAAGAAAAGGATAGATGCAGCTGGTCTTCTCAGTGAGACCTTCATCCTAGCAGGAGGTATAATGCTTCCTGTAGATTTCCTCTGCCAGACCTCACAGTCTTTTCTGGAAAGTTCAATCTCCCATTTTCAGATATTAGCCATTTAGCACTGTGAGCAGAAACTGAACTCAACTCATGGGCTTCGGATGAACTCTTTGTTTTATAACCTTCCTTCCGCTGCCTGACTGGCATGTAAAATCCTGCTGTAGACTACAGAGTGCTGTGCTAGCCTATCCGGTACAGCTTTTGGACTCTCATTTATTTGGCATAGGTAGTGTGGAGGTTGAGTTTGGAGAATGTGTCAGAATTCTCAAGTCCATGATCTTAAAGAATATGTGTTGGTCTAGTTCATGCCTGAGTTTATAGCAGATGTTTAGTGAAAACATCTGATCTGAATAGAATAACTAGAATGATTTCTTATTGTTTTCTCATTCGTTTTTATGTTTACAATTTTCTTTACTATAAAGTAGGTAGCATAGTGTTTTGGCATGCATATATTGTTTAGTATGCATATGACTCCTATATCAAACTAAGTAATGTATCTGTTAGTTCACACAGCTACCTTCTTTTCTTGTAGTGATAACACTTAAAAACTACTTTATTACCGAGTTTCCAGTATATAGAATGACATAACTATTTTTATTATATATGTATGATTACTTTACCTGCATATGCAGATGTACACCTGTGTACCTTGTACAGGCAAGGCTAGAAGAATCCAGAGGAGGATGTTATATGCTCTGGAGCTGTGGTTAGAGATGGTTGTGGACCATCATGTGGGTGCTGGAAATTGAATCTGAGCCATTTGGAAGAAGCAGCCATTAGTCTTTTTTTTTTTAAATTAAATTTACTTATTTATTTATTCACTTTACAACCCAATATCAGCCCTTCCTCTCCTCCCAGTACCCCCTCATGTAAGTCCTTCCCCCATTCCCCTTAGAAGGGGAAGACCCCTCTGTGTCAACCCCACATACCCCCATGCCACCTCTCACCCCTCCACACCCCTCCACCCCCACTCTGCACATCAAGTTACTGCAGGACTAGGCACATCTTTTTACACAGGCCAGACAAGGCTGTTCATTTAGGAGTGAGATCCACAAGTAGGGGGTTAGGCAGCAGATTCAGGGACAGCCCCTGCTCCAGTTGTTTTAGGGACCCACATGAAGACCAACCTGCTCATCTGCTACATCTGTGCAGGGCCTAGGCCCAGCCCATGCTAGCTCTATGGTTGGTAATTCTGTCTCTGGGAGCCCCCAAGGGTCCAGATTAGTTGACTTTGTTGGTCTTCCTGTGGAGTCCCTTTCCTCTTTTGGTCACTTAATCTTTCTTCCAACTCTTCTGTAAAATTCCCTGAGTTCTATCTTCTATTTTTGTGTGAGTCTCTACATTTCTTTCCATTGACTGCTGAGTGAACCCTCTCAGAGGACAGTTATGCTAGGTTCCTGTCTCCAAGAATAATGGAGTATCATTAATAGTGTCGAGGATTGGTTCTTACCCATGGGACGGGTCTCAATTTGGAGCCGTCATTGGTTGGCCATTCCCTCAGACTCTACTCTGTCTTTATCCCTGTACATCTTGTAGGCAGGACACTTTTTGGGACAAAGGCCTTGTGGGTGGTCACTTGAGAATCCATATCCCTCACTGTTAGGAATCTCAGCTAGAGTCACCCCCGTAGATCCTTTAGGACCTCTCCCCATCCCAGGTCTCTGGCACATCCTAGAGATTGTCCCCACCCCACAGCCAATCTTCCTTCTCTCTTCCCTGCTGTCCCTACATATGATACCCTCTCCTCTCCCCAACCCCTCTTCCACACAGTTCTCTTCTTTCATAGACCTCTGAGCTCTATTTTGTTTTCCCTTCTTAGAAAGATTCATCTATCCTCCATTATGCTCTCCTTGTTATTTGGCTTCTTTGGGTCTGTTGATTGGTTGATGGTTATCCTATGTATTATGGCTAATATTCACTTATCAGTGAGTATATACCATACATGTCCTTTTGGGTCTGCATTACCTCATTCAGGTTGGTATTTCCTAGTTCCATACATTTGCCTGTGAAATTCATGATGTCCTTGTTTTTAATGGCTGAGTAATATTCCATTGTGTAGGTATATCACTTTTCTGTTTCCATTCTTCAGTTGAGAGACATCTAGGTTGTTTCCAGTTTCTGACTATTAGGAATAAAGCTGCTATGAACATAGGTGAGCAAGTGTCCATGTGTTATGGTGGAGCATCTTATATGCTCAGGAGTGCTCAGTCTTGAGGGAGAACTATTCCCAATTTTCTGTGAAACTGCAAAATTGATTTCCAGAGTGGTTGTACAAGTGTATATTCCCAATAGCAGTGGAGAAATGTTCCCCTTGCTCCACAACTTTGCCAGGATATGGTGTCCCTTGAGTTTTAAATCTTAGCCATTCTGGTGGGAGTAGTTTTGATTTGCATTTTTCTGATGACTAAGGACACTGAACATTCTTTAAGTGCTTCTTAGCCATTTAAGATATTTCTGTTGATAAGTCTCTGCTTAGCTCTGTATCCCATTTTTAATTGGGTTATTTGGATTATTGGTGTCTAACTTCTTGAGTTCTTTATATATTTTGAATGTTATCCCTCTGTCAGATGTTAGGTTAGGGAAAATCTTTTCCTAATCTGCAGGCTGTTGTTTTGTCCTGATGACAGTGTTCTTTGGCTTACAGAAGCTTTTCATTTTTATGAGATCCCATTTTTTAATTCTTGACCTTAGTGCTTGAGCCTTTGGTCCTGTTCTGGAAGTTTTCTGCTGTATCAATGAGTTTGAGGCTATTCCTCACTTTCTGTTCTTTACTATTAAGTCTGTCTGGTTTTACATGCAGTTTTTATTACTATTGCTCTGTGGTGCAGCTTGAGGTTGGGATAGTGATTCCTCCAGAAGATCTTTTGTTGTTCAGAATCATTTTAGCTAATGTGTTTTGTTTTCTTTCCATATAAAGTTGAGAATTGTTCTTTCAAGATCTGTAAAAAAAATTGTTGTGGAATTTTGATGGAGATTGCACTGAATGTGTAGATTGCTTATGGTAAGATGTAGCCAGTATTCTTAACTGCTGAGCTATCTTTCTAGCTCCTTAACTCTCATTCTTGATGTTGTCTCTATAAGCTTATTTATTCTACATCTCCTTATCAGAACTAGTAGGTTCCTTATATATGGTGGTCCTTGATACTTGTTTGTTCCCATTATCAATGGAGACCATCAAGTTTGTTCAAGAGTTTACTAAGTATAGAACTGCTTATAACTTTGTAAGTTACAATAATTTATTTTAACTATGTGAAATTTTGCCAGTGCTGAGTAAATTGAGAAAAGGTTTTTGAACACTTCCATTATGTTTGTTCTTGATCCTTGTTTATAAGTTCTTCTTGAAGTCTTTTCACTACCTGAAAAGATAAGTTTTAGTGGTTTTTAAAGAGTATTTCATTAGTATCTCAAGTTCAAAGTACGACCTTAATATCTCATATATGAATTACTAGATGGGAACAAGAACCAATCGCATGCCTGGGAGATTTTATTTCTCACCAGCAAACTAACTTCAGAGTAGCCACATAGGCTAGAACTCCAGAACTTCCCTCTGGTAACTGTTAATGTCTAGTTCCCTACTGTACATGAAAGGGACACAGGGAATAATTTCATTTGCATTGCCTGATGTTGCCTCCAGGAATCATCAGCTTTCTTGTACTCCAAGGAGCATTTGGTCCTTTGCGCTATATTTAAACAGGTAGTTTAGTCAACAACTAGAGATTTCAATTTGTAGTTATGTTATGTGCTTTTCTCCCTGCAAAGGCTCACCGTTCAAGAAACGGAAGGGACCAGAGGACACTGTAGAGGACACAATGGCTGCTTGAATTTTGGAGCATCAAATCCTCTGAATGTTACTTAGTCTTTACTGTCTGTTTAGTTCCCACAGAGTAACATCGTGACTGTACCATCCTCACAGGATGAATATAATGCCAACTATCTGAGGAATAGATGACTCAAGACTGGAGTCATTCCATGAAGATGCCTTGGTGATTATGGTGTGCATT